TTGCATTGAAAAAACTGTCCTGTACTAATAGGGAGTTCAAAGGTATTTACCCATATTTCCCTCAATAAAACCTGACCTGACCTGACTGTCTAATTAATGAGACGAAGACGAATCGATCAATATAATCCATGTAATGATAAAATAGAAGGACACGCTATCTGAAACAAAGCTGGACATGCTGATGTCTGCAAGCTGGAAGCCACGTTCATCGGGCGAGTAAATATATTTTTGGATGCCTTCAGGATGCGGCATAATGGGCTCGATTCAATATTTAATCTAATCGACGTTATGTCTTTATAAGATCTGATCAAGATCCTCTTGCTTAGTATCAATTCCTGATTCCTCCTTCCTATCAAATTCAGGCCGGATAGCAAGAGGTCGAATGACAATTGGGCTAAAAATATACCTTCTTATCCTATTACCAAATTATAACTTCCCTTAAGAAACGAGAAGACTTTCGCGTTAAGTAAATTCGGTGGCCGGCAGGTAGATGGGGATTAGTGAACTGAAAGCTGCAGGCGAGTGTTACTGGTACCGTGTGGCGACGGATCGGGAGTTTCTTTTGTTGTTTCTATAGCAACCACACCCACTGCAACTTTTCCACAGAAACTCGTGGTCACCTCGATATAGAATTGATGCTAGGTTTGCTGTCCTATCAGCACGAGGGGCGGTCGTTTATAATGTTACAGGTAGTGCTTTTCACATTGCGCATTATAGCAGACTTTAAAGCCTGGCATGGAGTTGTAAAGCCACTTGTAACATCAGCAATGCATACGGAAAGCGTACATCTGTATAAAAATTATTATTAAATAGAAGCTCCTATTAATACAAACAAAAGAAAATGACACCGAAGTCGTAAAAATGTGCCTGCGTCGAACTGAAACTGCGTCAATACGTCAACTTTCTATCGTTTTGCAGTTAACAACTACATTTAATCCCTTCTTTGCAAATCTAACGGACTGTCCTGCAGGTTAACCAAACAACTATGGGGTCAATTACTTCCATTATTCAAATTTAATCCGTAATAATAATTCTTAAATATTTCAGGGTACCCCAAAAATTGTCAAACAACGTTTACAGCTGTCCTTTTGCCCATACTTTCTAGACTGCCAAACCATTATTTGGGCGTACTCGGTTTGTGACCGGACTTCCAGACACTTCGGATAAAGAAAAATGGTCTAGTTTATTGTTGAACACGACGAGTTAATGTATCTCCAAAATGAATTTCCTTCTGTGAAACGTACATGAGAAACATCTTTAAAACAGATTCACAAGCGACCAAAAATAAATAACAATAGACATCGATGACAGAACCTCAAGATGGTGTTAAATTGAACTGAAATTATTACACGCGGACAGCTTTTTATCACCATGTTAGATTAAGAATGGACGAATGAAAAGTTGGACTCAGATGATGTGTTTTTTTTTCATTTTCGCCGATGCACTGTCATCGAAAATCAATTCTTCAAATGGCGAGAGTGGTGCCCTCAGGGTAGCCGGTCGTGCGCGTAGCATTCTTTCGAGTTACATTAAACGCAAAGCTTCTGACCTTCATAGTACCGGAAGTCGTGTTGATGATCCTAGTGGAAGTTTTAGCTAAAATTGACGAAGGGCTACCTCCAACCATGTTAGAAGGGCCATTCGTGCTCCGGGCAAATAGTTTTGTTCTCCTGGTGGGTGCTTTAGTGACTGTTGCGTCCGACACGGTTCTGTTCACTGGTGGCTGAA